TTAAAAATTTTTATCTTTTTTATTATTAATGAAGTTCTACCTATTGGCAAGTGTTTATTGGCTGTGAGTATTACTTCTTGGTTAATTGCTTTAATCTTTTTTTTTAAAGATTTATTTTATTTATTTGAAAGACAGAGTTACAGAGAGAGGTAGAAACAGAGAGAGAGGTGTTCCATCCACTGGTTCACTCCCCAGTTGGCTGCAATGGCTGGAGCAGCGCCAATCCGAAGCCAGGAGCCAGGAGTTTCTTCCGGGTATCCCATGTGGGTCAGGGGTCCAAGGTCTTGGGCCATCTTCCACTGCTATCCCAGGCCATAGCAGAGAGCTGGATTGGAAGTAGAGCAGCCGAGACTCTAACCGGTGCCCATGTGGGATGCCAGCACTGCAGGCTTTACCCGTTACGCCACAGCGCCAGTCCTGTGGTTTTTAAAAAATTGTCCTATAAGAGATCTGTGAATATTGGGATATTGTCATTTATATTCCTGATTTATTTGATTTTACCTCTGCACATAGTGATTTTTAAATGAAATGATATTTATTTGGTTTTCTTAAATTTTTGTCACTAAAATTTTTTGATGTATCATTTTATAATTGTAAGCTTTTCTGTCATAGTTAAGAATGGCCTTTGTCATCACAAGCTTGCAGAAATACCTATATTTCCTTATGGTATTCTTCAAAACTTTCATCTATTTTTTGGGAGGCAGAAAGGTGGAGGGAGAACTACCAACTCTACTGGTTCATTCTTCAAATGCCTATAGGGGCTGGGACTGGATAGGGCAAAAGCAGGGAACCAGGAACTCAATCCAGATCTCCCACATGGGTAATGGAAATCCCGCTACTCAAACCATCTCTGCTGCTTCCCAGGTCTGTAGTTGTAGGGAGCTGGAGTTAGGAGCCAGAGCCAGCCACTGAACCCAGGTACTCTGATGTGGGATGCCAGCATCTTAGCCATTAAACAGTTGCCCTGGATTTACATTTTTTACATGATAATCTTTACTCCATTGTGGGATTTATGTTTAAGAAGCAGAAAGGTCAGAAGGCAATGCAGTTTTTACCCTAGGGGTAGCTAGTTGTCAGACTTCTGCAATTTCTAATCTCTTACTACTGATTTAAAATGACTCCCTTTATATTAAATTCTCTTTTATATTTGAATCCCTTTTAAGTGAGCTATTCCATTATAATGATCTGTCTACTTTTGAATAATTGTTACTGAGATTTTATTTCTGTGGTTTTACATTATCTTTAATACAGTAAATGTCCTTTCTTTATTCTTTTTCAGAATATCCATTTTTGCATTTTGACTTAATGAATCTTAAAATTGTCTAATTAAACTGTTAAAGGTACTGCTAGGTTATTCAATTGGGGTTGTTATAGATTGAGGGAAAATTGGCACCTTTATAATAATGAATATTTGTATTGAAGAAAAAGGTTTATTTCAGGATTTAAGTATTCTTTTATGTATGTTGATAAGATTTCATGTTTTCTTCAAATGAACTCTGGTCATTCTTAAAGCTTTTTCCTAGATATTTGAAATTATGGTTGTTGTTAATGGAATTTTACTCCTCCAAATATTCCTTAATTGTGAACACATAAGCTATTGACTTTTGTTTATTTTTCTTGTTACATCCAGACTCTTTAGTGAGCATGCCAATTTTTTTCCTAGTAATCTTTTGGTTCATTTTGGCCTCCTAAATTTTTATAAAGTGGTGCCCAGAAGACTAAGGAACTACTTTACTGTAGGATGTAATTTGAAATCAGTAGAGAATGGAACTTTAAATAGGACAAAGTTTATGGAATATGAACATCCAGGGAAGAGTGAATATGGGCCAATCCATATCACTGAAATATGTTAGGTTATTAATACTAGAATGAGTGAAGATGCTGTTGTTATGAGGTTAGCTAATATTCTGAGATATCCTTTGGTATTCCACTAATACTCTCCTGTGATTAATCTTTGGGAATTCTGTATTACTTGTGTAGGCAGGATAAAACTTCTCGGATGTCCCCCATGGCCAGGGCTGAAGCTGGAAACTCAATCCAGGTCTCCCACACGTTTATTAGGAACCCACTTACTTGAGCCATCGCCACTGCCTCCCAAGGTCTGCATTAGCCAGAGGCAGGTATCATACCTGGGCACTCTGATATGGGTTGTGGGCATCTTAACCACTAGGCTGAAGACCTACCCTTGAGTTTTTAAGTAAACTTGAAGTAGTACCTCCTTCCAGTAAGCAAAATGGGAGGGAAAGGGAGGAGGACTAAACTGACTCCAAGAATAGTCATGTGCCACGTTGTGAGTTCCAGGCTTGCTAATTTTTTCTAATACTCCACAAATAAAATATAACTTCTTTTATTGGTGTAAATAATCTTACTTTGTTCTTCCAACTATCTTGCTCCAACCATCTACCATACCAACCTCTGTCCCACCCAGTGGGTGTGTGTAAGGTGGCCTGATGATGCCATCTGGTGGCCACCTGGGGAACTTTGTGACCTAAGCTCTGTGTGTTGGACCTCTGCTCTGGCAGACCATGGGCATCAGCCTGGCCTGATGTCTTAGATGCCCGATCCAGGTTGGGGAACAGGTAGTTTATGCCTGCAGTGTCGACAGAGATGGAAGGGGGATCAACATCCACGTTCCGGGAAAGGCTGCTGGGAGGAGCTGGGAACAAGAGCAGGTAGAGAGCAAGGAACAGATCCAAGGAGACAAATCTACAAGGGACTTCCACCGGGAAATATTTAGAGAATACTCCTAAAGCAAAGCAAAGCAAAGCAAAGCAAGGGAAGGGACACATTTTTGTTTTTCTTAAATAAATGTGTTTAATTATATTTTCTCATGAATTTAAAATCATTTATTTATTTGAAAGATAGAACAACAGAAAGAGGGAGAGAGAGAGAGAAAGAAAGAGACTTAGCTGTTGGCTGCAATAGCTAAATCTGGACCAGTCCTAAGCCAGGAGCCTGGAACTCCCTCTGGGCCTCCCACATGCGTGTCAGGGGCCCCAGCACTTGTGTCATCCTCTGCTGCTTTCCCAGTTATGTTAGCAGGGAGCTGGATGGGAAGTGGAATGGCCAGGACTCAAACTGGTACTCTGATGTGGGATGCCAGCATCACAAATGGTCCCTTAACTGGACAATGCCACAATGTTGGTCTGGAAGGGAGACATTCTTAATAGGAAAACTGGTTTGCATTCTGCTTCCGGCAAGGATCTGCTTAACTGTGGACATCTGGTCAGTTTTAACATCATCTTCAGAGGGTTCCTCATCTGCCTTTTTTTTCTCTCAATTTTTAAAAAAATTTCATTTCCGTGGCTTGAAACTCGGAGAATTCCACATAAAGCAAACACTAATTCATATTTCCTTTTTCTTTTCTTTCTCTTTCCCTCACACCTCATTCCTTATCTCCTTCTCTTCCTTCTAGTTCCTTCTCTCTCTCTCTCTCTCTCTCTCTGTCTCTCTGTCTCAAATTTTTGTTTTTGCATTATCAGGAACACTTCTATCTTTCCCTTCCTTTGTTCTGTTTGGGAGCCAAGACATCCTCATGGCTGCAGATCAACCCTGGAGAGTGCTTGTGGGTTTGCTTCCTGTGGAACAGGGAAGGCAGGGTCAGGGAAGTGAGGCACCTGGCAGGGATCAGAGTCCCCTTCCACTGCTCCCTGGCTCAGTCCTTACCTCCGCACAATTTCTTCATGGGTCTGCATTCAAGATGTCGGTCTCTTTAAATCACTGCCAGGCTCCCAACATGTAAACACTGCCTGGCACGCAGAAGCAGCTTTGTTAATATCTGTTGAGGGAATAAATGGGTATTCTCAGTGAGTAAGCAGATCCAGTGAGCCCAGTGAGTACGCTTGTGCCTTTTTATTCCATGGGATAATTTAAACATCAAGCGTGTTTCCAGCAGGAATTACTATTATTATTCTTTTATGTTTTAACCTCCCAATGGACAGTCTTTCAGAAAAATCAGAGATTGGTGAGCCAGATACTCTCTGTAACTGTCCTTTTTATGTTTCAAGCTCGTGTCTTTTATATACTTAAAGGCAGCAGTACCAAAAACATAGTAGCCAGCTTTTACCTGTTTTTGCATCTCAAATGCTTTTCCCCAAAAGAGAAGTTAAGGCAGTTAAATATTGTGGAAAAAAAGCAATTTGGAAACTATTCAGTTTTTGGACAAGGATTTTACTCTCTTTGTTTTTCTCTGTTTGCTGAATCTCTTTTGCATGACAAATTCTCGGTAACAATGGAGAAATATTTATTCCCTGTATGGAACTCAGTGGAGAGAAAATGTTAGACTTGCTTAATCCCTTTCAGAAATGTGCCCTTACTCATGATCCTCCCCAGATCTGGAGATGAGGCAGGCTTTTTTCCCCTATGGTTTCTCAGTGCTGTCATGTGAGAATTTTCTGGAGATTAAAAAAAATTTTTTTCTTCCTACTTTCCTTTCTCAAAGTTGAGAATTTCCAAAGTATCTCACATATCTCTGTGATCTTAAAGAAATTTTTTTTTTTTCCTCACATCAGTGCCAAGGCAAAAGTAAAATGAATTACGAGTGAGCTTGAAGTAAGACAGCCACCGTGATCAGTGGGTGTTCTACTGTGATGGTGTAATAGACCAAGGTTAGTTGGTGAGGGTGTGGCACAGCATTCCACATCAGCAGCAAGATGTCTTGCTCCTCATGATTTTGGTGGCTTCTGGGGGTGGGAAGGCAGGTGTGTAATCTGTTCATCGGCCCCATGGACTGACAGGCTGCTAGGGATGGGAAAAGCATGGCTCAGCCTTAGAGCCAGAGGGTCCTCAGGCTGAGTCCTGGCAGAGTCTCGGACTGACAGGGTGACTTGGAAAAAAAGAAGCAACGTCTCAGAACCCGAGCTTACCTTTCTGCAAAGTGGAAATAAAGATGGGCCTGGAAGGGCAGTGGTGAGGCCTGGCGGTAGTGCCCGGCCGGTGTTAATTCCTCAGGTGTTCATTATGGTCCCGGTATCCACTGTTCTCTGCGTCTCTCTCCTTAGGTACCTTGGCATCACGAGGCCCCTCACCTACCCCGTGAGGCAGAATGGGAAATGCATGGCAAAAATGATTCTGTCCGTGTGGCTTCTCTCGGCCTCCATCACGTTGCCCCCGCTCTTCGGCTGGGCTCAGAACGTGAACGACGACAAAGTGTGCCTGATCAGCCAGGATTTCGGCTACACGATTTACTCCACGGCCGTGGCCTTCTACATCCCCATGTCCGTCATGCTCTTCATGTACTACCGCATCTACAAGGCCGCCAGGAAGAGCGCCGCCAAGCACAAGTTCCCCGGCTTCCCCCGTGCGCAGCCCGGCAGCCTCCTCTCCCTGAACGGCATGGTGAAGCTGCAAAAGGAGGTGGAAGAGTGTGCGAACCTTTCGAGACTCCTCAAACACGAAAGGAAAAACATCTCCATCTTCAAGCGGGAGCAGAAGGCGGCCACCACGTTGGGGATCATCGTGGGGGCCTTCACCGTGTGCTGGCTGCCCTTCTTCCTCCTCTCCACAGCCAGACCCTTCATCTGCGGCACTGCCTGCAGCTGCATCCCGCTCTGGGTGGAGAGGACATGCCTGTGGCTGGGCTATGCAAACTCTCTCATTAACCCTTTTATATATGCCTTCTTCAACCGGGACCTGAGGACCACCTATCGCAGCCTGCTCCAGTGCCAGTACCGGAATATCAACCGGAAGCTCTCGGCCGCAGGCATGCACGAGGCCCTGAAGCTTGCCGAGAGGCCGGAGAGATCCGAGTTTGCGCTGTAAGGTCCCTTACTGTTATTTATCCCTCTCGCCCCCTCACCCCCTTTATGCAGCTCCTCGGGGGCACATCGTAGGACATTCCCGAACCAGTAGCTAGAAGCACATCTGATTTGAATTTGAATTCAGGATAGCATAGTCTCCTGTTCCCCAGTCAGTAAGTTTCAACAGCCAACGTGCTTAGATGGATTGGAAGACCAGACTGATTTGCTGATGAATTGCAGTAGTTGTAAGTGAAACAAGGAGGGTGGTGACACCTTCCATCCATTTTCTGTAAAAAGTATACAAATCGGTCCTCATAGCCAAATTCCTGCAGCGTTATCACTTGCTGTTGTTCTTCTATGCAGCAAAACTCTTGATGGCCTTGACCTTCTTTGATAGGAGGAAGCAGAACTGGTCTTTCCAGTGTGCATTTGTATTCACGCAGGCTAAATAGGAGCAGCATGGGCGAATGGCAGGGTTGCTCTGGGGAGATGCTAGAGTTGGACAAGGTCTTCAAAGGCACGGGAGCATTTGAGTAGTGCTGCCCACCTTCCTGGCAATTGAGAACAGGTCCAAAATTGTTTAGCGTGTCTGGGTCTTGGTGACTTTCCAGGAAGCAATTGCAGTGGAGTGTTGGGATCTGTAAAGCCATGGTAGTGATAAGGACATGGAAGCTCGATAAATAACCCGCACATTAACAAATCTGGCATCGTCAAGAGGGAAGGATATAGAATGGTCCTTAGAGCTGTGTGTTTGAAAGTCGAGGGAAAAGAAAAGTCAGAGTGAGAAGATGGAAGGTACTGTGTGAGAGAGCAGGTTGGTGCTGGGCATGAGCCAGAGAAGGGAGGTGTGCCTCACTGGCCCTGGCAGGAAAGAATGGGCCAGAGAAGCAGGGACCACCCTGGATGAGAGGGCCCCTCCCTCTCCGGATTGAGGAAGCTACTGAGACTTGGGGAGCGAGATATCCCACACTTAGCTGGTGTCACCCCTAAGCCTCAGCCCTGTGTGAGCTGAATCCTAGCAGTGCACATTTAATACACTGTTATATATATATATATATAATATATATTATGTTGTATATATAATGTTATATATACTGTATATATAATGTTATATATACTGTTTCATATACTGGAGTGCCTTTAATGTACAACCCAAGTTGTAAGACTACAGCTACACTTATTCTTGAGTGGGATGTGGCTTCATAGGTATTCATTTTTACTTCTGTTATCATCTATGCTGTTTTATACAAGTGTAATTGTTCACAGTATAAAAAGTAGCATTTAGGGGCCAGTGCTGTGGCACAGTAGGTTAATTCTCTGCCTGCGATGCCGGCATCCCATATGGGTGCCGGCTGCTCCTCTTCCAATCCAGCTGTCTGCTATGGCCTGGAAAAGCAGTGGAAGATGGCCCAAATGCTTGGGACCCTGCACTCATATGGGAGACACGGGAGGGGCTCCTGGCTCCTGGCTTTGGATTGGTATAGCTCTGGCCATTGTGGCCACTTGGGGAGTAAACCAGCAGATGGAAGACCTTTCTCTCTGTCTCTCCTGCTCACTTTCTGTAACTCTACCTCTCAAATAAATAAATAAAATCCTAAAAAGAGTAGCATTTAAAAATGTAATTCTAGAATATATACTATGAGCTACCACAGAAATCTTTCCATAATATTCTACTGCATTGACCACTAGTATCTGACTATGAGATTGTGAATTCCTTCAGGGAATGAACCATGTCAGATATGTATTTGGGGGACTCTAATAGAGTGCCTGACCCCTAATAGATGATAAATAATAGAGATGATTGCTAATAATGATTGACTACTTACTACATGCCACCTACGATATAGGTGAGTCTAGCAGTTCTGGTTTCCTGGAGAATAACCTGAAGCACAGGAACATAAAAGTAAGTGACCTGAGATCACATGGCCCCTAATTGGTAGATGTGATGTGAATTACCCTGATGCACCTGCTGTTACCCTTATCATTTTGCTACTTTTCAAATGATTTCAGTCTGCACACAATGAGGAGCTGCTGAACATGTTTGAGCTGGGGACTGAAGCCATTAGCTCTCCAAGAAGACAACTGGGATGACCCATAAACTCTGTCAGTTTCGTTTATAGACTTAACTGCACTATGGGAGGACACCTCCTAGGCAGTCTTAGTAGTTTCTCAGATGCAGGACATAAGGCCAGGATATTGATAGAGTTTTAGGGCATGGGCTGGGCACTTTTATGTTGTAGTACTTGTGAAGACTGGGCAGAGCTTATGACATAATAGCTTTAGATCAATGGGTACAGCATGTTGAGGGCTTTGAAGCAAGCATTGATGAGCTAGCTATTAGTCTTGATAAATGAGTCCTTTGAGTTGATACACAGTCTTACCTTTGGGAAGCAACTGTTTGCTGGACGAAGCAAGCAGATTATTTTGCTAGGACTCAGGAATGTGTAGCATAGGAAAAAAGAGGCATGCTGGTTTTAGGAGTAGCGTGCTGAGGGCTGGGTTGGAGGAAAGTCTCTGGCACTAGTGAGAAGGGCAGACATAAGGGAAAGACAGGTGGCAAGGAGTCTAGTTATGCAGCCAACATATAAACCAGGGCAGAAAATCTTGCACCAGAAACCATCACTGTACTTGCATGCATTCTACTCTAAGCACTTGAGAACAACTTCACTGATTATCTTAGTTAATTCACAAATTGTTCAGCTTGCAAAATTATAATTTTTAAAATATAACCCTAATAGTCTTTTCAGTTCAAAACAATATTGATCATATTTACTGAGTGTTCACTGTCAGATCCTACACAAGCACCGTGTGCAAATTATATTACTGAACACCCAGTTCTTTATGATTGGTTGTTTTTCTTTATCTTCATTCCAAAGATAAGAACACAGGTTTGGTGAGGTTGAATAATTTTCCCACAGTCATACAGATAAAGAAGGTTAGGGCTGCATTTAAGCTCAAGATGTCTGTGTTCCAAAGTGCTTTTAACTTCCGTTCTACTGTGCTTTTTAGAAAAATAAATCAGCTAACATAAAGTCCAAGGGCATTGCCTTTGTATCTTTCCTTAGTACAGAGGTTTGGATTTTTTTTTCCCCTGTGAGTCGAACTTGGAGATCAGCAAGCTTACTGTGAAGGGCCACATAGTTAACTGTTTCCAGTTTGCATAGTCATCTGTTGATAGTGCTCATCTCTGCCCTTTTCTTTGACATTAAAAAGATGGATATGACTATACCAATACAACTTTGTTTACAAAAAGAGGCAGGCAGCTGGATCTGGCCTACAGGCTATACTCTGCTGTTCTCTGATCTAAGAATATTACTATCCCTCTCATATCTTTTTCAGTTTTAATTTATAATGATAAAATGTTCAAATCTTTTAGGGTGACTTAAAATATCCATCAACTTTAGGAAATTTCTAATGATAAAGCTATTCTATTAAATTGAAATAGCTGCTGTTTTTCTAACTCTGTATCAGGCAGTTTTTGCATCAGTACCAATATTGGAAGAGTTATCTTTCATCGCCATTTGTATAACTGTTGTGCATTGACAAGGATATAGAAAATATATGATGTCTTTTCTGGCCTTGTACATACATGTCTTTAGGAGAAACCATACATAAACATGTACACATGCCACAAGGGTAGGAAACATCACATATTGCAAGCTAATCCCCAGTGCAGTAGCATTAGGAGATGGGGCCTTAGGAGGAGATTAGGTCATGAGGGCAGGGCCCTCATGAATGGGATTAGTGCCCTTAATGGAAGAGGCCCAAGGGAGCTTGTTCATGCCTTCTGCTATGTGAGGATACAACTAGTAGGTACCATCTATGAAGCAGAGAAAGACCCCTCACCAAACCTGAAATCTTGTGATGTGTTGATCTTGGATTTCCCAGCCTCTGCATTTCTCTTGTTTATAAGCTACCCTGTTTAAGGTATTTTGTTATGACAGCCTAAATGGACTGGGATGTATGAACACCTACCCTTTTGGTAAAATGTAAAAATGAAAGCAGGAAAAGCTATAGGATTTGAAGGAGAGGAAAATTACTCAGAGTTGACGCTAATGCTCTGTGATGAGCAGCAGATCCTGAGGCTATGGGCTTGAAATGTCTAGGAAGGTGGTCAAGGTGTTTATAGCTGAGTGGCAGCAGAAGTGGTATCCCGTGTGAAGGGCATCATTTTATGTAAAGACACCAATGTTGGAGCCTATAAAATGGACAGCCTACACGAAGCTAAACACTGGAGTGAGGGGAGAGTTTGAGACCAGGGTAGAAAGGTAGATTGAGACAAAATTATGAAGAACCCTTAATGCTAGCTCCAAGAATTTGGAGACAGGTGATTCTCAGCCAGGAGTAATTTTGCCTTCTTCCTACCCTGAGAATTTGGTAATTCTGGAGGCATTTTTCTTGTCACAACTGGGAGGGAATCGTGCTGCTGGCACCTGCTAGGTGGAGGTCAGGGTTGCCTCTGAAGACCTACGGTGCACAGGTCAGCCATTTACGACAAAGAATTACCCAGGCCACAATGCTACATCTGAAAAACCTTGGTCTAGGCAATAGGACGTCATCAGTGAGTCAGTACATGCAGAGGAATGGAGTCATCAACATGGTGAAGACTGAGTGGTGTTGTGGGATGGACCAGAAGGTAGAGAATGGAGGTAGATGGTCTTCACTGGCTTTTTCGAGATCTTTTGTGGATCTACTAAGTACCAGGCAAAGTGCCAGGCATAGTAAGGGTATAAAGATGAGTGACAGTCCTCAGCTCTGGAAACTCGTAACTCAGTGGGCTGGGGTAGCTATACAGGTGTTGGCGGTAGTGAGTAAAGGATTTGAAAGCAGAATAAGAACCTCCATAATCCTCACTCTGCAGTTTCATTCAAATAAATGCAAGTTGGGTACCCTAAAAAACTCATAACTACCATAACTACTGGGTGTGAAAGACATAACCAGTCTCTGGAAGAATTACAAAGGGTGTCTAATTCAGAGCTCACAGCAAGTCTGAGTCCTTTGCGCCTCTACCTGTCTGT